CCACATAACCACTGCTTAAGTGCAGTTGTCTCACGACCTCGTCAGCTTCCTCACATGTGAACTTCAACATCGGATACTCATGTGGAAGACAAATGCTTTGTGCTGACGTTAAACGACATATGCTCGCGTCCAATGAAAACTGCTTCTGTCCATCCATTGACGTAAATTTGTGACTTGTGAGTGGTAGGTGAAAAATGCACAGCAAAAAAGTTTTCCTGAAAATTTTGGGACTTTTCTGTTTGCAAGGTTATGGTAGATGCTATGCAAACTGGGTTAATAAATAGGACCGAGTTGAGCTTTCCGGCTATATTTAACTAAAGGGCAAGCTTATCGCTTCTTCTATATATAAAAGTATTTTTCCTATATACGGGAAAATCTAGTTATACCAGTAAATCGTAGACATTGCAGTGCACATCTTTGATTTATGAATAACCTATGAGAGTGCGATTTTTGCATGTTTAAACAAACCAGAACAAAGACAACAAAGTAAGAACAAAGAGGAGAAATCATCGACGTGATCGTTCTCGAGTTGTGCGTGATCATCCATACCCTCCTTTCCCCGGTGTTGAATGATGGCTCTGAACTAACAACACTCTCAAAGTCCAGAGAATATGTTATAGTAAACAGAATCTCCCCCATACAGGACGAATTCGCTGTGCTTAAGACAGCACTTTTGAATAAGATTTGTTAACTTCTGAGTAAGTTGAACAGACATAGCTGCTATCATTGCGGTATTGGTTGTTTTGGTACGTTTATTTCAAATCCTACCAAGGAGCAATGAAGAAACTCTTCCTTTTTAACAGCACTGACTCTTGTTTGGTTAATCCAGCGAAATATTGAACATGGGTGAAATCCGTTTCTTCCTAGTGAAGTCCTAAGCGTAAGCGTCATGGTCTTCATGAGTAAAGTCAACGTCACTGCAATCCACAGATGAAGCGGAGACTTTAGCTTCGTGTGAGGAAATAGGGAGCCTGAATAGATGTACCGGCAGTACTGGAAGGACAAGACGGCAAAAAAACATATTAGGACGTGGCAAAATAACAGTTGTCAGGGAAAACGTGAATTAAAGAACGGAATTTGTTTCGCTTAAACTGGCTGTTATACTATTCATCAAAAACGTCACTAAGAGACTATAAACTTATGACAATTAACTGATAACATTCGCATCTTGAAATACTGGAGATGCAGGAGAAAATTCCGATAAAGCGAGAATTAATGCTAGATTAAAAATGTTCACAAGTTAAAAAACATTTGGTAAAATTCCACATTTCTGTCGAGGTTTCACGACAGTCAAGTGTCCCCCAAGCTGAAAAGGAGTCCGGCGTTTCCACCAGGAAACCCAGCTAAGAGTAAATCAATACCAAGATCCATCACCGTCCTGTATCAAACTAGTCGCATGGTGGAAAATCTCCCTCTCATCCATAAGTGCGGCGACTGCCTGTGTTGGTGACGACCTGGGGTAGAGTTTAGCTAAACTGACCTTGAGATTCCAAAGAACCACAATGGCTAAATCAGCAAAGCTCCGAGAAAATGAAAATTTTGCTGGACCCAACATAACCAGTGAAGACGTGCCATCCAAGTGTCCAAGTTAGTATGTTTTACGAGAGTTATACACTATTTAAGGGAAAAGTGATTTGCATTGTGGACGTAAGAATGGGCTCGGACACCACTTTCCGTTAACTATTTCTTCATCAGACTTTCTAGTGAAATCGTCACCATTTATAACCGCATTAAGGTTTTACAGAAAAAAATTCTTGAACAAGTTTAGAACTCACGGGGCATTTACAGTCGAGTGTAGCTGTGACGAATCGCAATCGTCATTCCCGTCACATCTGCTTCGCTCCACAGTGTCATGTTTTCGGCAGATAAAAAACGAAGCCTGGTCAAGTATCTGGGAAATGAATGAATTAAATCTTACTGAAAAAATACGAACAAGAAGTGCACTGCACCAGCATCATTGACAACACATTCCCAGAAAACTATTCGAATAGCTAAGTAGTGTTTCCACCAATGAGCAGACATAAGTAGGCTTAAAGAAAAAACATTTTAAAACCATTTCGAAACGAAGCTAAGCACTAAAAAAGGTTTACATCTTGTAAATAGATTGTAATTTTCGTTATCATTAAAACGATTCATCAATACTAACAATTTTGCCTAGCTGTGCCGATTAATGGGCGCGTGTGGCGCAGTGGTCGGAGCCACCCTGTAGCACACACACACACATGGGACTGATCCCCGCGCTCCTGACCCACCAAGCCTTCCATACCTCCGGGGATAAATGGGTAGCAGGCTTGTCTGGAAGGATAGCAGCGCTGACTCGAAACATCGGTAGGCCACCACGAGCCATTGTAAAGGCTATATATGCATTCAATCGCCTCCAACGATACTTATTGAAGTCGAATGCATGGCGCATCCCTCAGAGATTGATCAACGCCGAGAGCTTAACCCTTTTATGCCGATCAAAATCCTCATTGTAATGCTTCGTAGTTGCTAGAAGTAAATGGCTCTGAAGAGAAAATGAACCGACACATCCTGCGTATCTGCGGCCACTACATCCCTGTTTATAAACAAAAAAAACGACTACAGATTAAGTAGAAGGGGAAAGGACCTGGTTAGTATCAAAAGGTCTTGTAACCTGGAATGGTTTTCAAAAACTCAGTAATAAATGAAATAGAAACTACGAAGGCACAGAGTGCAATGCGGAGTTGCTGCTATTCAATGGTTTGATCGCTAAACGATCCTGATCAACTCACTTTCAGATTTTTTCTAGTAGTGCATTACTTTATTCCAAAACCACTTCATAACAATCTATACCTGATGTATAGAACCGGAAATTCCCCCAAGAATTTCCCCTCTGCGCATGTTCCGTATTTTTTCCAGGTTGTCTCCCTTTGCGCTTTTAAGAGATTTCTTTGGGCACACGAGAATCCCATGAGGAGCACACAACGAGTGCACTGTGAGATGAAGGAATTCCGCGATTTTTTTCTCTGATAATCATCACAGACGACGACAGCTGTTGTTCTTTTAATTACACCGAAACCAAGGCAAGCAGACAACTCACACGGTTCACAATGACGTTCGTTGCTCCTCGCAGACGTCGCTTAATGGATCGAATTTCGTCGTCGGCTACAAAACATGACACCTGCTTGAGATGAAAAGCAAAATAGTCGTCTATTTTTCCATTCAGTGACGAGATTCATATGATTTCTATGCTGTTTCTTCATTAAAACTTGTAAAGATGCAGAATCTGAGCCATAAACGCTTCTACTCGAACCGTTAACATTCAGGAGAAATCGAGAAGAAATTGCGAACTGACGAAGAAAATAGTGAAATACAGAAATGGTGAGGCAACTAATGCAGAAACAAAGCAATGTAATAACATCAGCTTAGAACATGAAGTACATAATAAAGCAGTTTTGAAGACATCTATGTTTTATGAAATAAAATCTTCGCTATCTCATTACTGGCCGATTCTGTAATGCTCCGTTCTCAACCTAGTTTTTAGAATTCTTGAACAACATTGCCGTTCTCATAACTGGACATAAAAACCTTTCGAGTTTGCGCCATAAGGTTCTGCTATGCTTTGGAACACATGTGATAGATGGAAACAATAAGCGATAGGTTTTAGCACTCAGAGACGATTGGTTTCATTTATTCCAAGAATCATGTGCCAATATCTGCCATGAAGAGCACCATCTCCAGTAATACGCCACTAGGACGCAAGTAATGTAGTGGTCAACTAAACCTCCAGAAAACAGGACGAATTCATAGAAGCGCACAAGCAGCTGTGAGTAGAGCACATTGAGCAAATGGTCTTGAAAAATTAGAAAAAAAAGCATTCAGATTCTTCTAAAACACTTAGAACCTTGTTCTATACCAGACGAAAAAACCAGGGAACAAAATTTCATGGCGAAATAAGTATTGCACATTAGCTCAGCTCTACTAAAGTCATGAGTGCTAATAAAAAATTTTAGGTACAAATCCAGGAAAATTCAGTGTTACTGATAACAGTGTGTCAATATGAGTATGAGGATAGCAATATAAGGATCGCCAATAGATTGATGTAATATCGCTATCTGTTCTATTTGGAGTTGGCTTTCTTTTACAGCACCCACATCGACTGTAAGGATCCCACCACTTTTCGTATTTGATCCACTTCCTCGAATCTATCATCCACGAAATTCTTCGGGGTTTTTACGCGTGATTTCGGCTGCTGCTTGAGGATTTCGTTTTCATCATGAATGTCGTTAAATGCTTGTTGAGTAGATTATCTTTGGGACACTGAGATAGCCAGACTAGAGCGTTCCCACATGGATTGCATACTCATAGACAGGTCCGCTACCAATTTCTCAACCTCGTACGGATAACAGACTTAGTGACCCCGTAGCGAGATCGAAGAAGCACCGTGCTCGTAATGATCGGCACCACTACCACTGTGCTACCCACTTCCTGGAGTAGAGTTAATAGTTCAAAAGGGCAGGTCTGCTACTTTTGTTTTTGGTCGGTGTTCCCGGGATGAGATGGAAATGAACTTGCATGTCGATGAAGCTCTTTACAGCTGCTTTGAAAAACATTAACCAACTAGATCGAAAAAATCCGCTCCATCACTATAAAGAACGAGATAAGAGAATCATTTTTTCCCAAAATATCTCAAATTTTCAAAAAAAATTTCAATGGAATGCTAACAAAGTATAATTTGTGGCTGTTTCACAGATCATCAATGTAGCTTTTATTCCCATAATCAGACGTTTCATGATCCGTACGCAGAGTTTATTTGCATGAAGTGTTATTTATCAAACAGAGAATCTTCCAAATGTTGGAGCATTCCAATGATCGTGAGAGAAGCATTACAGTAGAAGCTAGAGACGCAGAGTACCAAATGCCGTGACAGTGGGGCGGTGCCGAGGCTTGACATAACCCGGGCTCTCAGTCCAAGGGACATTCATCCCGAATACCGCTCACACGATCAGTATGGCTCTCGACCACGAGAAGGATCCAGGATGGCAGTACCTACGTCGGTCACGCGAACAGGCTATGGAGGTGTTCATTCCTTACTTTTCAACATTTAACTTCTTTTTCTCGAAATAAATGATGCAGTGATGGTAGAGTGTAATGTTTCCATTGTTCCTAATCAGTGTGTTCTATTAGAAGCTGTCCAATAATGAACGATCATACCTGCTCATCTCATTTTATCAAAATCATTTGAATCCTAAATGAGTTATTACTTAATGCCCTCGTTTTGCTTTCATTCCTCCGCATAGAAATGAGATACCCAAGGTTTTAAATACTTTTGTCCATCAGGAACTAGAATCTGACAATAAAGACACCCGTTTACTAATGTCGAAGTAACAAGTACTTCTACCAATTAGACAACTCTGGTGGTTACAACCGTGTAAAAGAAATGATAGATACATTTGTAGATTTCAGTCGTGTCGAATCCACCATAGACATATCTAAACCTAGCACTATGACATATTTTCTCCAACTATAATTAAAACTTTTCTGACATTATTACAAACAGTAATATCTCCAGATTGATCGAATACCTTAAGCACGAAATATTAACGAAATTACAGCTTTGCTTTATTTTTTCAATCTGTTAAGGACCAAGCGAAACCCTATGATTCGAAGAAGAATTGTTGGATTCCCGATGCTGAAGATGGTTATGTGGCGGGTGAGATCACATCCACTAAGGGAGACCAGGTTACGGTCGTAACCGCACGTGGAAATGAGGTTAGAATTCTCAAACTCGCTATGCAAATCGATTTCCCATAACGAAACTATGTCTTCTCATTGATATATATTGCCAACAGCTGCGGATTTTTCTCTTACATTCGTGAGGACTGGCGAGGCACATGTTGTAAAGAGGTGCACACGTGTGGATTTCCTCCGATCACTTTTCTTCGACAATAAATTGAAAGGAGTTGAAAATGTATTAGCAATTTTTAGTCAAATGTTGGCAATTCCCAGAGAAACACTGTAAGGAAAACCCAAAATTTGACTGAAATTTGATAGGGGAGACTGCAATCAAAAAAGTTCATGTGAAGACTTTCTTCTGAAAATTGATTTCAGGTCACCCTTAAGAAGGAGCTGGTGCAGGAGATGAATCCACCAAAGTTCGAGAAGACTGAAGATATGTCTAACTTAACGTTCCTTAACGACGCATCTGTGCTGCATAATCTGAGGTCACGTTACTCAGCCATGCTGATTTATGTGAGTAATCTTTTGACGTATTCGAGTAAAAGAAGAAGGTTGGGAAATATCTCAAGTCAGAACCATTTCAGACATATTCCGGTCTTTTCTGTGTAGTCATTAACCCGTATAAACGACTTCCCATCTACACGGAATCTGTGGCGAAGATGTTTATGGGTAAACGAAGAACAGAAATGCCGCCTCACTTATTTGCTGTATCCGATTTGGCCTACAGAAACATGCTACAAGATCACGAAAATCAATCTATGCTCATTACGGGCGAGTCCGGGGCAGGAAAAACTGAAAATACTAAAAAGGTCAGGTAAAATAATGCGCACATAAGTCTGCTACTGAATAAACATCATCCAACGACTGTAGTCTATTTCAGGTTATCGCATACTTCGCTACCGTAGGTGCTAGCCAACAAGAAGGTTCAGCTACTGATGGTAAAAAGAAAGTCACACTTGAAGACCAAATTGTACAGACCAATCCTGTATTAGAGGCATTCGGTAACGCTAAGACCGTTCGGAATAACAACTCCTCTCGATTCGGGAAGTTTATTCGAATCCACTTCTCAAAGGCAGGACGTCTTGCCTCTTGTGACATCGAGCACTATCTGCTGGAAAAATCCCGTGTCATTCGTCAAGCACCTGGCGAGCGTTGTTACCACATATTCTACCAGATTTTCTCTGATCACAAACCGGAATTGAAAAAGTCTTTGGAGCTCGACAAACCGCTCAAAGATTATTGGTTTGTTGCTCAAGCTGAATTAACCATTGACGGTGTCAACGACAAAGAGGAGTTCCAACTCACTGACGAGGCTTTCGATATTCTCAATTTTTCTGCTCAGGAAAAAATGGATTGCTATCGCTTGATGGCTGCTCTCATGCATATGGGTAATATGAAGTTCAAGCAGAGGCCTCGTGAGGAGCAAGCCGAACCAGATGGTACCGACGAAGCAGAGAAGGCGTCTAGCATGTACGGTGTCGGTTTCGAAGACTTCTTAAAGGCTTTGACGAAACCACGTGTAAAAGTGGGAACCGAGTGGGTATCTAAAGGACAGAATCTTGAGCAAGTCAACTGGGCAATCGGGGCCATGGCTAAAGGACTCTACGCTCGCGTATTCCACTGGCTGGTTAAGAAGTGCAACTTAACACTTGATCAGCAAGGAATCAATCGTGATTTCTTCATTGGTGTGTTGGATATAG